ACCCCCCCTTTTCCCCCTCCAGCCCTTCCTAGGAGCCAGGACTTTCCCGCAGTGCTTGGCCCCTCTGCTTGGTGGGGATGGGACACACGGCAGCTGGGGGGGGAACCCGTCCTGATGAATCCAACACCCAGGGTCCCTCTCCCAGCTGACCCCCCCTGATTTTCCTCCCTTTCTCCTTGCAGACTGGCTGGTGGACAGGAGACACTGCAACCTGAAATGGCAGAGCCAGGTCCTGACCATCCGGGAGAAGATCAACGCGGCCATCCAGGACATGCCGGAGAACGAGGAGATAGCGCAGCTGCTGGCAGGGGCCTGTGAGTGGGATCTGGGGTTGCGGTGTCCCGGGAAAGCTGGGATATGGGGGGTGTTGCACTGGGAGCCTGTTCCTGAGGTTATGGCAACATCCCCTGGTTGAGGAGGAGATGAGGAATCGGTGGCATGGCCTGGGCTGAGCTGGGAGAAGGTGGCACCCGGCAGACGTCCCAGTGACCGTGTCCCTCCCTCCAACGCAGACCTGCACTACTTCCACTGCCTGCGGATCGTGGAGATCCTCAAGGGCACTGAGGCTTCCACCAAGAACCTCTTTGGACGCTACTCGTCCCAGCGCATGAAGGTGAGCGTGGGCCTGGGGCTGTGTGGCTGGTGATGGCCAAAGTGTTTGTGATCACAGCCCCCCTCGCCCTCTGCTTCCCCCTCCCCAGGACTGGCAGGAGATCGTGGCCCTCTACGAGAAGGAGAACACCTACCTGGGTAAGGTAACACCTACTTCTGGCTGTGAGCAGGCTCCAGAGAGCCCTTGGGGGTGTCAGTGGGTGGCTTTCGGTCTCCAAACTGACATGAGGGTAAGGGGCAGGACGTGAGGAGCTGCTGAGTCCCAATGGGGTGAAGACCCTGAGCTGACTCCTGTGCTGAGGTGACTGGGGCACCCCAAGGGCTTCATGGGGGGACTGATGCAGCCTCTCAGCACCCCCCTTTGCTCCCCCGGCAGCCGAACTCGCCAGCCTCCTGGTGCGCAGCATCAGCTACGAGATCCCGTCGCTGAGGAAGCAGATCAGCCGGTGCCAGC